TGATACACCCCCGGCGTCCACTTCTGAAAAAGGTGACACGCCCCCGCCAGCTCCGCCATCCTCGTCACAATCGGCATCTGCCCCTTCCTGTTCCCCACAAACAGAATCAACCCTCCATGATACGCCACCTCCTCCACCACCCTCGCCGCCCTCCTCAAGTGCGCCGCCGTCTGCTCCAGGCTGATGATGTGAATATCCGACCTCTCACCATAAATGTACCTCGAGTTGGCCGGGTTCCACCTCGAGACATGATGGCCCATGTGGCACTGCGCCGCGAGCAGGTCCTCCAAGCTGGCGTCGTGGGGCGGGTTGCGGATGATCTCGTCGGGGAGATACCGCCTCTCAACCTCGGACCCGAGCTTCTCCGTTTCCTTTTGGTACTTGATAAACTTCCTGAAGTTGCGCGGGATGGCCGCAATCTCCTGCTGCTGTCGGCGGCCGGCGAGCCTGGCTTCGCGGGCGGCATCCGTGGCGCTCAGAGCGGCGAGCTGCTCGACCGCTTCTTGGTTTCCGGGCACGGGGGTGGCGGTCGTTGTCGTCGTTGTGGTCTGGGTAGAGAAGAGTCGGAGACATGATGGTGCCGAGTGAGGGGCAGAGAGCACCTGGCGGCCTGTGATTCACACATTCAACTCAATTAGCGAGGGTTCTGAGGAATCGAGCCGCTGTCAAACAAGACTCACCGTGCCGCACGCCGAAATTCCGTATAATCATGGCGGGAATGCTGGGTGTCTAACAGGCATCACCAGTTCCAGAAGTTCTATTGCCGGCCGAAGCGCAAATCAACTTTTCTCCAGAGGAGCAGCTCCAATTCGAGGTGGCCCGTGCTTCGCTCCCCGCCGAGCCGCCGACCACCCGAACCGACGCCCGCACCACATCGGAGGTCTCTCACCCCACGTTACGACATCACTCGTTCATTTCAGGGGCAGTGAGAAGACAATGGATGAGAAGAGAGGGGGGATCCGTCAATTGCTGAACAAAGGAAAAATAAAAAAGTGCTATTAGATCATCTATGGAATCAATAGGCAGTCATGAAGTCTGATACAAAAGAATTCTACACCGCGAACCTCGCCTGCCCGAACCATGTGGTTTTGTAGGTGTGCATCGTAAAAGGCTCGCCCCAACGCAAGGCTCGTTCGTCTCGTCACCGGATTTTGCTTTCACCACCCCCCTAAAAGCGGATATATACTCCCCCAACATTCCTCTCCCGCCTGCCACATCTGTTTATCTGCTAGACGCTCTACCAATGGCAAACACACCAATGATAACGACGGCCAATGTGACAATAGCACCTGGCAGCAGGAGCTCATTAGGGACACCGGCAATGACCTGTTCCTGCTGAAGAGGCGCAGTTCGCGTGCGGGTTCTCCGGCGAACAGGCGCCTCCTCCTCAGATTCGTCCTCCTCTTCCTCGGACTCCTCCTCGTGGTGTGCCTTTCTCCGCTCTCTGACTACTGACGAGGCAGGAGGAGTGGGGTGAGCCACCGGTTCTGGCGCTGGGGCGACGGCAACGGGAGGTTGGTTGGGGTGGTGAACAAAGAGATCGACCTTCTCGCGATGGCCATGACGAGCCAGGAGAATGGCCTCCAGGAGATCCTGGTCTGTTGTGATGGAAACCGAATCACCCTCATCATCCAGATAGCTCAGGGCAAATCCGCCAGAGAGCAGACCATCCTCAACCGCTGGTGCGCCTCCAATAGTCTCCACCTCGGCGCCGAGCTTCGCTGCGACGTTGGCAACAAATTCCTCCATGCCGTGCGCAGCAGTCACTTGCAGACGATGGACACGCCCGCTAGGCGCCTTGAACTTGAAGGCGAATGGGATCTCGCTGGGAGGGAGTTCGGGTGTGATGGGCGCCACAGCACTATGGGGGGGCGAATCAACACCCGCATGGCTGGCTGAATCGCCGGGCGCAACGCTGTCGTTGATTCTGTCGCGGGACATATCGGGGGACATGACGGAGCGGGTGTGGTGGGTGTGGTGATGGGAGCCGTCACCAGAGACCATGGACTCGGTCTCGTGGTCAAGCGAGAGCCAGAATTTGTTCCATGCCGGTCCTTCGTTGTCGGCGCCTGTCCCCATCGTGTTGATCTGTTCGAGAGTGGCATATGTGAGCTTGAGTACATCGACCATACCGACGATCTCGCCTCCATCGTTCATCACCGGGAGGTTAAGGTAGTGGCCATCTGAAGCACCGTATTAGTTTGATCTCAACAAAGTTTGGACAAGTAAACATACCATGCATCTTGCGAAGAGCAGCCTGGATGGTCATGTCCATGGGCGCAAAGTCGGGGTGAGGGGTCATCACACGGACGACGCTGCAAGTGGCAGGATCAAGGCCTGGGGCAATAACACGCAGGACAACATCCTTGCTGGTGAAGATACCCGTAATAGCGCCCTGATCTTGCACCAAGACGGCTGTGGTGTGGTTCTCCTTCATCAACTGGGCAGCCTCCTTGACCGATGTCCGCACGCTGACGGTGGTGGGTGGGATGCCGTTGAGGACCGACTCGAGGGTAGGACCCGACATCTTGGACCGCAAGGCCTCAACATACTGAATAATCTGTTGAGGCTGACTTGTGCCCAACTCGGACTGCACACCCTCGAGGGCGTCGTAGAGACGGCGAGACGAAGAGTAGGCCCGCTCCAACTTCTCCATGGCCTCGTAAAAGCACTTTGTGATATCGAGCACACCAGAGATGTCTTGGTTCTCGTCCATAACTGGCAAGTGGCGGAAGCCCTTGCGGACCATGAGGTCGAGGGCATCGGTGGCACTGGTATCGGTTCTGGCGCAGAGGGGGTTCTTGGTCATGATTTCGGCAATGGTGACATTGGCGGCCTTCAACCCAGCTCCAACAACGCGAAAGGCGAGATCCTTGGCGGTGAAGATGCCGGCAATTCTCTCATCGTCGTCGGTAACAAGCACGCAGTCTTCCCTTTTCGCGGCCATCAACTGGGCAGCCTCGGAAACGGTCGTCGCGGGCTTGATCTGAAGGGCGGGGCTAGGCTTGAGGGCAAGGACGGTGCCGGGAGGGGCTTTGCGGGAATGGCGGGCTCGGCTGGTAAGGTGCTTCTTCTTGGAGAGATCACTCTCCAGCTTGCGGCGGATGGCCTGGTAGTTACAGAGTAAGTCTTCATCCTGTCGCCCACCAAGTGGTATTTCTCCTCGTCCGCCACGTCACTGATCAGGAGATGCGAAATAGAGGCGCCAAGACGAGCCGATAACTGGCTCAGAACAAGAAGAAAAAGAAGCCAAAATACACACCTCGTCCCGCTTTGCTTGTTTTTGTCTGCCGGCACTCAAGGAGGCGCCGCTCTCGCTGGGGGCAGCATGGGTGGTTTCGACTGGTCTGGGGATTGCCGAAGAGGCAGACGATGTCGTAGGGGTATTGGGGGTGAAAGGGATGCCGCCGCGCTGGCCGGTCCGGCTCGGGCCTCGCATGGTGCCCGGGTTTGTAGACATTGTATCGGTGAGAAGTTCTGTTGTAAGATATGCTGGTGAGTAGCCGTCAACCAGAAATACTGCCGGCTGGGATCTGGCGATCTGGAGCGTCGACTTTGAACTTTGTCGGCGGTAAGATGTCGGCAATTTTCTCGAACGGGTTGTGACATTCAGTGAGTGGATTTCTCGACCGAACGAAGCTCAAGAGCCGGTGGCCAATCACGTAAAAGCAATCAGATGACCGCCCTTGCCAGTCGAGTCGCCCTTGGCTCGAAGTGCACGGGCCAATGCAGAGATTCAATAAACCCCCACCAAATCCCCAGCTTCTGGTGGGGTTGGGAGCAGAATTTCAACGGCCTCACTGTGAGAGAAAGGATGTCCTGTTTGAGTTGTTTCACAATGAGCCGGGCGTAAGCCAGGAAGAGGCCAGCAATTTCTGTTTCCAACCAGCATCTCTCTTGTACCAAATGTGGGGGATGCGCCCCGGTACGTATCTTTTAGCGGGGAACTAAAAGACCGTTGCAGTGCTGTGGAAAGCCATGACCTCAACCGTTGTCCTGGATTCGACCCCGTCCACTGTTTTGGTGATAGCATCTCTCTTATAGAAGAGGGCCTATGAAACGGAACACCGGCATCGCCCGGTCGATCTTTCCAAGCTGGCCGTGCAACGTGTCAGAGATAGAATATCTTCATGTCGGTTCAATCAAAACGTGGCAGCACAGCACTCCCGACATGCCGTTGGACGGAGATTGGAACATAAGTTGTGGCTATGACAACTCAAACTAAGTCAAGCATTATGATCAGTAGAACCAAAAGCTTGTGTTGTCCAGGATTTTGGCAAGCTGTGAATATCACTGTACTGTAGATAGTATCTCCATGACGTCCAAGACGAGGTTGTTTAGTTCCCTGTTTGGCGATCTTGACTGCAGGTTTACTATGGGACCATCCGACTCATGGCACGGCATTAGTCCGCTGGAGCGTTTCCACGGCGAAAACTGTTGTGTTCGTGATACTTGCTCGCTACCGTACCTAGCCGTGAGTTCGTCTGTTGACAACACGAACATCCTCTTGCTGAACGGGGCAGTAAGCCCGATACTACGGAGCAGCTCGTACAAGAAGTTCATGATACAAAAAAGCGAAGGGCCTGGATGCCTCCAACAGATCCTGTCTCTAGGCGAGGTGCTTGTTTTTGCAGCGTGAAACTCCCCCATCGTCAAGCACCCTCTCGCCCAATCACATCAGCGAATTTATGCTGCAGCATCGCTTGCATGCCGGGGTGGATCCCGGCTTCCTGCATTTCTGACTGTGAGGCACCAATCAGACTGCGCCGTTCGGTTGGTAATTATCCCTTGACACGGACACGCTCTCGACGTCACCTACCGCTCGCAACGATTCCGGATTCAGGATTTCTCAATTAACAACAAGACTGTGACGCTATGCCAACGGCCTTTTTTTATCTTCCTGTCAGCCCCGGCGGTTTGATGTGATGCGTGTTTCGTCTTCATCCTCACCTTCGTTTTCGACTTCGAAACCTTTACCTTCGCTGCTATCTTGTCTTGTGGACCTCCGGTGTTCCCAACGTGTCGCGGACAACATACCAACAGACTGCCCGCACTGCCTTTTTCCACGTTCCTGAGCGCACCACCTCCCGCTACGGCACACGCTTACACAAGGCGGCCCGCCGTCGGTTTCTCTTCAAGTGCGGCCAACAGATCCCGACCATTTTTCGACAATCGCTGGAAGATTGAAAAGCAGATGGTCTGATTTTTGGCGGAACCCGAAGGGAACGGAAACTGGGTCAATCGCTTTGCAATCGCTTTGCAATCGCTTTTTCCCTAGAACTACACCAACACCAACCTCCCAAGCAGCAATGGCGCCCCAAGGGATAGCTCCCGCTGCACGCATGCAGCATTGGTCTGCTGCGAAGCTCAAGCGCGCAGTAGCCGCCATGCTCCTCCCTCGCGAGGACGACGAGTGCAGCCCGCAACCAAATATCAATCTGTGCGAGAAGCCCGGCATTTCGACCGCCAAAATTACCTGGATTGTGGTTGGCAGTGTTTTGTGAGTGTTTACCTCGCTCTTGGCATCATATGCACTTGGCGAACCATTGCTGACTGAGTGTCTACAAGTGGTGCCCTCATTATTTGCACTTTGAGCGTCCTTGCATTTTTGCACCGCCGGAAGAAGAAGAGAGATGCGAGCGAGGACAAGAGCGATCGGTTCCAAGCGGCAGACTACGGTCTTGACGATGTACCCTCCACGAAGCGATCACGCGCACATGATAGCGACTCCAAATTCTCGCCTGAGGGCTCACCCAGCGGTTTTGGTCGACGTTCAAGAGACCCTCTGGATGCCCCCAAGGAAGCAAAGCTGAGCACCGCCCAGCTCAACGACCACTTAGACCCATTTGACGATCTGGACGGGACCAATAACCAATGGCCTAAGAGGGATAGCAGCCGAGGCAGCCCGTTACGAGGGAGTCCCTTGCGAGGAAGCCCTCTCCGGGGAAGTCCTCTCCAGGACAAGTCATGATGATTTTGCTATGAGGAAGAAAAGGACAAAACGGCACGTTAGGATAGGAATTGGGGATGAATATGGGCGGGAATGATTTATGTCATGAATAAAGGAGTGTATGTATGATATCCAGGGAAACGGGCGGCGGGACTGTATCGATACTTGGTTTGGAGTTATCTGGCGAATCTTTAAGCACGACGTCCTTGGGATGTCATGGCAATCGACTTGATTTTTTCAACAACTGAGACATGTCTCGACAGGTCCCCTTTGTTCCACTTGGCGCCGTCTTGGAGGTTTTGTGCCACACCACAGACCCAAGCATTCCGGTACTGACTTTGGCGATTAGAGTTCAGCTTCATCCACCTCACCCAGGTCCACAACCACCACCACGAGACACCACCGCTCGGCCTCCCCATAACCTACACCACACCCCCTCATCCAACCGAACCCTTAACTCAGTTTTCCGAGAGGTTGAATCGCCGATCAGACTGGCAACCTGGTCGGTGGCCCATTCGTCTGGGTCCAACTGCTCATCTCGAGTTTAGAGCTCGGGGAGTCTGGAGTGGTACTCAGTTCAAATCGAGTCTGCTGCAAACATCTTCTGCAGATCTCGCCAAAACTTGCGGTACTTAGGGGGATCCTCCATCACGATGCCGCAAGAAAGCCCATCCAACAAGAGTCTAGCTCTGGGGCTTGACCCTCTCGGTCCATTCACAACCACGATCAAGACGCCGAGGGATGGCGAAAAGCGCCGTCCCCATCAGCAAAATGACAAGACAAACCAAAAAAAGGGTCACCAACAAATCAACAAAAAGAACGGGGACAGGATACCCCGAATTTTACAATGCGCCACCTCCTGCTTTTCGGCAGCCTGAAATTACGCCTGGAATTCGATGTTTATAGGGGCTGGATACATGTACATGATACCCTTCAACGTTTCGATTCACAACTTGCAACAATTATCCTCGTCGATTGACGACACAAATGTATGACCACCCCTCCGATGATCTCGGTACAAACGACACTTGCCGAGTATCGGTGTGAGACTACCCGGAGGCTGAAATAGCTAGAAAATGGGTTGGGTAGTGCGGAACAAAGGAGTCTGGGGTGCACGGCGGTGATCCCTGAGGGAAGGAGTTGTGCAGAGGATTACGGTGATGTACATACACATGGGGAGGAATAAGAGAGGAATGTCATTGTCGGTATGGGGTGGGATTAATTCTACGGCTAGATATTTTCTGGCTTAGAGAGTTAGGACGTGGGGATCCTCTAGGAAACAGAGGAAGGATTAAATAAGGTAGTTGTTTCGATTTATTTTTGTTCCCTTTTTTCTTTTCTTTTTTTTTTCTTGTCATATCCTTATTCTCTCCTCCTCCTCCTCCTCCTCCTCCTCAAGACACAAACTATCCAAACTAAGCCACCCCTTTCTGTTGTTCCACCCTACCGTTGTCCCCCTCAAACCATGTAGTTTCACCCCCAACCCCCCATCAACCCTCACCCCTTCCCATGTCAGCCTCACCGCAGCCCAGTATATCTCCCTCTCCCTCTCCCCCATGACATGCCCGCAGTGCCCCGTCTCTTTAAACCTAACCATCAAGCTCCGTCTCTTTGCCCTGACCGCATGGTCTTGCACATCTTCCCACAAGACAAGATCGTCCTTTTCGCTAAAGAGGTACGTCGTTGGGACACTCTCGGATGATGAATCCCATAGCCTTTCGTTATTCAACCCCAGTTGTGTAAAGTGCAGCCAGTCCCGCCGCGCTTTGTCTCTGTTGCCTGAGCGGGCCCGAAAAGAGAGGTACACCACCCCGCCAACGCTCTTCCGAATAACATTATGTTGACAAAAACCGGGGAGTGTCCTCGCAAAGGCTGCCGTGGAGGAGGCAAAAGACGGTGTTGGGCTTCCGGGCGTGGAGTCGAAGATGAATGCCCCGACTGGGAGCTTTTGTTTTGAGTGGTGGAGGTAGGTTGTGGCGAGGGAGACGGCGGCGAAGGAGCCGCCTTCGGAGAAGGTGTGCAGGAGGATTGAGCCGGGGGGTAATCGCGCGGTTGGGGGGGAGAAGGGGGAGAAGTATGGTCCTGGGGTGGTGGCTGGGAGCCTGAGGAGGTAAGTCAAGGCGGGGAGGAGGGATTTTGTCTTGTGGGGGATGGAATGGATGATTAGGTCGGTGATGTGGGTTGTTATTAGGAGGATGGGGGTGGTGGGGTGGAGGGATTGGTAGGCGGTGGTGTATTTTGCTATGTGGGCTGGTTTGGCGGAGGTCCAGGTGCAGAGGATTATTAGTTGGGGAGGGTTGGGGGAGGTATGATGGGTGAGAGTAGGGGAAGGGGGTTGATAGAGGTGGATTGTGGGGGAGAGGGGGGTGAAGCCTGGGATGGGAGATGAAGAGGTCATGTTGGTGAGGTGTAGTTGTCATTAGGTAGGTGAGGCAGGGCAGACTGATGGAGGTTTGTGATCACAGAGGTATTATATCCGCCCGCCGGTGTCATGGTAGACACCTAGCTGCTGTGCAAGACAGCACAAATACGTGTCGATAAATATAGCAGTTTGGTTCCTGGCTGTAATGTCACACCATTTCAGCTGCACCACGGGGACAAATGCCTTGTCTTTTCTCGTTCCTAAATTGGCAAACATTTGCCGCTGTTCTCCCAACACACAGTCTGATATACCAGAGGTCAAACACGGTCGATGGGGACAGCCTGCGAAACACAGCGAAGTAGGTAGGGTTACATTTGGTTTGGTGGCAGAGATAAAACTCTAGTTTGCGTCCTATCATGGACGGTAAGCGCGTAAGAGAGGCGCAGGGCTGGTCATAGTCGGGGAAACGGCTGTTTTGTTCAGCCCGTGGTAGATAACGTGTTAGAGAATGAGGTTCTATGCACTTGCTCAGCTGCATACCTCCAAGCTGGAAGCTGGCAAACAGTCATGACATCAGCCCCAGCATGGTGCAAGCGACGACGGGGTTTATGAAGCTCCAGAGCATGCGAAACTGACGCCATCTGGAAAGGCATCGGTTTTTCTGCAATGCCCGCTTCGGGAACGGTGTGCTAGTGCCGGCAGTTGCATGGCTTGCACCGTGGCTCCAGTCCAAGTTGTTGGTAGTGAGATCAAACAAACTTTTCCCATGTGACTATGTGACTGCCATGCTGCTTAGAATCCTCATCTTTCTTTGTGGAACATTTCGGGTGCTGGTTCATGGTATTGTCTCTTTGCCCATCGCCGCCCTTGTCGATCAACATTGCTTTCTCTCCGAGACATGGAAAACCCTGTGATACCACCCAGGTCAAAATAAGGTAAGCTGTTACCGAGAATAAACTCCACGACGGTCTCTTGTTAGTCCAGATGGGTGGTTAAGTGCGGGGAACTTGCACCTGCAGCTTCAGCTGGGGGGAAACTTCTCTTTGAAACAGCGGCTGCAGCCACCCACAGGCCAATCTCGTCACCAATCGGCGTTCCAGTCTCCCATTTGCCATGTGGGCTGTGTCCAATAACGCGGACGGCTGTTCGCTGCGGGAGGGAGGCGCCACCCGTTGTGACCCTACCATATACTGTTGTCTTTCCATCTATTCATGACAGACCGATATTGAGCCTGGGATTGCTATTGTTGGTAATTTTTCCCAAGATGTATGTGATCAGCCATTGGTTGCCATCAATGGCTGTTGTGATACTGTGATCCAAGTCTGAGTATCACTCACCCCACCCTCCACTGCAAACAGCCATTCACGTACGCTATATCAGCAATCGTCAGTGCAACTCAACGTTAGCTACGTGAGAGTCAACGTATCTAGCATGGTGACCTGTATCTAGACACATCTAGCAGTAGTCCCTCTCTGACGTTTGGTGCTATAAGCCTGTTTACCCCTGGGCATGCCCGCTCTTCCCATCCGACCCTCACTGACATGCAAATCCCCAAACTCTGTGACTCGATGCCATAACAGAAAGCTTGAACCGAATGTTGCGTTTCCTGGACTGAGATGACTGTGAGCTAATTCCTTCCAGACCTCACCTGCGCTTGACGTGCGGTAGCATCTTGGTTCTGCACCTTATCGCCATCAAACAAGACAGACAACTTGCCACTTTCACCACATGTCCATAAACTTCGGAAGGAGGGGAATGTGAGAGATAAAGAAAACCGGAACCGACAGACTCCTCCCAAACTCCCCTGAAGCAGTGGTATATCCCCCCTTCCTACCCACCGGTTCTTTTAATTCTTCGATCCTGAGGACAGACGCTTTCCCCCCTTAGCAACAAAACAGCCCGCATGACAAACCCCTGTCTGCTTCGGTGTTAAGTCTCCCGTGTCCAAGGCCACTCGTTCCTTTTTCCAGTTTCCCTCTTGGATTTTTGTTCTTCCCCCTTTACGAAACCTCCCATCACCCGACCCTATATCCCATCGACAGACAACTTGATGCCAACCCACCGCCACCGCCCATCTCTAACAGTAATGCCCCGATCCCGGGACGACACCCCCTCCTCCTCCTCCTCCCTCGAGCGAGGCGAAGACCCCCACCACGGCCTCACCCTCAAGCAAGAGCTCGAGTGGAAACCAGGAAAGCAGGAATACGCCGTCATGATCACCCTCGCAATCATCTCCCTCATGGTCGCCCTCGACGCAACCATCCTCGTGTCCGTCCTCCCCACCCTCGCCATCGACCTCGGCGGGACGGCAACAGACGCCTTCTGGGCAGGGACATCCTACCTCCTGTCCTGCGCCGTGTGCCAGCCCTTCATCGCCGCCTTGTCGGACATCTTTGGCAGGAAGGAGATGCTCATCTTTTCGGTCTTGTTCTTCACCCTCGGCACCGTTCTGTGCGCCCCGATTGCGAAGAACTTTACTGTCTTTTTTGCGGGGAGGTCGGTGCAGGGGATTGGCGGTGGGGGGATTATTACTATGGGACAGGTTATTTTTGCGGATATTGTGCCGCTGAGACAGAGGCCAAAGTACTTTTCTTTGGTGCTGGCTGCGTGGGCGTTGGGGAGTGTGCTGGGGCCCTTGATTGGGGGGTTGTTTGTCGAGAAGGCATTCTGGAGCTGGTGCTTCTACATCAACCTGCCTTTTTGCGCGTTGGGCCTGGTGTTGATTCCTTGCTATGTCAAGCTGACGACTCAGCGGACGAGCTTGAGGAGCAAGCTTGCAAGGGTGGATTGGTTGGGCGGGTTTTTGTTTATTGGGGGGTTGACAAGTTTCTTGGTTGGCATGAGCTGGGGAGGTGTGCAGTTTGAGTGGTCGTCTGCGCAGGTCATCGCGCCCATGGTGGTGGGTGTGCTCAGTGTTGCCATGAGTGTTGTTTGGGAGAGCTATGGGGCGAGGGAGCCGTTTTTGAGGCCGCAGCTGTTTTGCAGTGGGAGCGCGCTTGCCGCCTATGCTTGTGCTCTTTTCCAGGGCTTTATTCTCTTTTGTGCGCTGTACTACGTTCCCTTCTACTTCACCGCGGTTCGGTTCGAAAAGCCGACGCAATCCGGACTCGACATCTTCCCAGTCACCTGTCTCCTGCTCCCCGGTAGCATCGTCGTTTCTCTCATTTCCTCCCGAACAGGCCACTACCGCTGGGCGATCTGGTCTGGCTGGGCCATCACCGCCATCGGCTGCGGTCTCCTCCACTTCTTCGACACCGACACCCCCACCCCCGTCTGGGCTGTCATTCTCGCTGTCTTCGGTATCGGCCATGGCATCCTCCTCACCAGCGTCAACGTCGGCATCCAGGCTATCAGCCGGGTCGAAGACGCCGGTCGAGCCGCAGCCATGTACGCCTTCATGCGCACCATGGGAATGTCCATCGGTGTCGCAGTCGGTGGTACAGTCTTTCAGAACCTCATGGTCAAGAAGCTCGACGAGTTAGGCATGCCGGAGGAGATTGCTCACGACTCCGAGGCGTTCGTTGTTCAGATGGCCGCCATGGACCCTACCGATCCTGTCCGGATCGGCGCCCTTGAAGCCTGTGAGTCAACCGCCCCTTCCCCGCTCTTTTCTAGCTTCAAACTGACACCTCCCACACCCAGACGTCGCCGGCTTCCACGGCGTCTACTGGGACCATCACCCGCGCCTCCGTCGCCGCCTTCCTCATCTCCCTCTTCATGAAGCGCCACAGCATGGACAAGATGCTCGCGACAAAGTTCGTTCTCGAAGGCGCCCGCACGACCATGGTGCCCAACCCGGCCATCATGACCAACGCCATCACCATCCAAACCAACAGCTCTTCTCAGGACAAGTTCTCGTCGGAATCACCCCGCCAACTCCCACCCCTGTTCAAAGACTCCCCTATGCCGTCGGCATTTGACTCTGAGTCGACTTACACCATGGCCAAGTCTAGCCGCGATGAAGAGAAACCTGACTCCCCACCGCCAGCAGAGCCGCAAGAGCCTGAAGTTCCCGGGGAGGTGGAGCAAGTTGCTGTGGCGTATTTTGTTGAGGCATCGGGCAAGATTGTCCCAGTGGATATACTTCCTGAGCATCAACCTGTGTCCCAGATGGGATCGGTGTTTGAGTTTGCTGGTCAGCACAAAGAGGAGGGGGAGTCTCCTAGGTATCCACTCTGGGAGCCCCAACCCGGGGAGGAAGATGAGGTTGTTGTTGAGGAGGATGCCAGCCCCGAGGAGCTTTTTGAACGGGCGTTGGGTAATGGATCGATACACTCTGCCTCCACGGATGAGGAGCTGGCGGAGCAGGAGGCCGTGGTTGCTGATTTGGCGCCCGAGTGGATGCAGGAGAGGGAGGAAGAGTCGAGATGAGGAGGAGGAGGAGGAGGGGGGGGGATGGGATGTTGTGTAGGTACTACATGGTGAATACCCTGGCAGCATTGCATGATAGGAGTTTTTTTTTTTTTTTTTTTTTTTTTGGATGGATGGAAAATGGATGGGTGTTTATTTAGTTAGAGACTTTTTCTTTGGGAAGTTTGGTAGTGTTAAAGATCAGCTTGATGAGAGGCAATTTTAGGTTAATTTCATGGTGGGTCTGTTTATGTTTGTGAGGGGGCTATTTCCCGTTTCTGAGTACAAGCGTCGATGTCTCAACTGGCACCTCCCCAGTGTGTGTCTTAGCCTCGACCGTCCAACTCCACCACGGCACAAACGGCTTCTCCACCCCATTATCAACATAGCAATAGTCCGGCATCGCTGATTTGGGGTAATGTTCCGATTTTCTCACCCAGTCAGGAAAATACCTGTAAATCCTCCCGTTCAGCTCCCCCCCGTCGATACCCCACCACCCCCATCACGCACAAAGTCGTCAGCCACTGGATGACGTCGCCGTGGCAGAGGTCTTCGTCCTGGCTGGTTCCGTATCTTCTGATCTGGCCGACCCAGCAGGCGGTCGGGTTGGCGATTTACCAGGTTCGTTTCCAGCGGAAGAGGGGCTGGGAGGACCGCTGGGCTTCCTTGTCCATGTCGTCTGGGCCGCAGGGCTGGACGGCCGAGGAGCTGTTGATGATGTGGGAGGGATGGAGGTGGAAGCCGGTGGCGAGCGCGAGGCGGAAGTCGGCTGTTTGGAGGGTGATGAAGCCGCGGAGGTTGGTGGGGAGCTGGCGGGAGGGGTTGTTGAGTTGGAGTTTGAAGGTGAAGATTGTGGGGATGGAGGCGTGGGCGGGGATGGTGGTGGTTTAATGGGATGGCAGAAGGGTGTTCAAGGTAACAAGTGAGAGAAATTGGGGACAGGAGGAAGTGGAAGGGTTTGGATGAAGTCGAATCGTTTTAAGACGGGACTGATGACCGTGTATTAAGGGATGACTCTGATGTGAGAGCGAGTGATAATCATGTATCTTACTTAGTCATTGCTTGACAATAGAACAAAGGGCCTGAGAGCTCTGATTAACACCAGCCGTCAGCTGTAGTGTCGAGTGCTGTTCTCACACCTATCACTCGGCAGATTCACCGGCCGCAGCAGAAGGCCTCCTTTCATCCAACCAAAGACATACTTTGTACCGAAATCTCAACATGTTGATCTTTTCGGTTTTCCTCCGGCAACCACTGCTGGAATACTCTCTATTCCATCAAGATGCGACTTATCAACACCAATGACGGCCGGTTCAAGGAGTTTATCGGCAACGATATTCCACCATACGCAATCCTATCACACACGTGGGAAGATGGAGAGGTGACTTGGGCTGACATGAAGAGCGGGAGATATCAGATGTTCCGGAGCAAGAAGGGCTACAAGAAGATTGACATGACGTGTCGGATAGCGAAAAAGGACGGATATCAATACGCCTGGGTCGACACCTGTTGCATCGACAAATCCAGCAGCGCTGAGCTAACCGAGGCTATTAAGTCCATGTATCAGTGGTACCAACAGTCCTCAGTGTGCTACGTCTTTCTTTCCGACCTCCCGCCTCCGCGAGTCACCCCTTTGGAAATTACTCTATCACGATGCCGGTGGTTTGCTCGTGGATGGACTCTCCAAGAGCTGATCGCCCCAGCAAACGTGGTATTCTTCGACGGGGAGTGGAAGGACAGGGGTGACAAAGAAACGCTAATAGACCATCTTGTCTCCATTACTGGAATCAACAAGGGCATCCTGAGACGCACACAGTAATTATCGAGCATGTCGGTTGCCCCAAAAATGAACTGGGCGGCTTCCAGGACCACAACAAGAATAGAGGATACGGCCTACTGCATGCTCGGGCTTTTCAACGTCAATATTATTCTGCTTTATGGTGAAGGGACCAAGGCCTTTCGACGGTTACAGGAAGAGATTATCAAATACACAGCCGACTTCAGCATTTTTGCTTGGAGGGTATCACCAGAAACAAACACAAAAATGCACCCTGGTGCCCGAGTTTATTGTGGTGTTCTCGCCGAATCACCTCTGTATTTCGCAGGATCGAAGACCCTTATCAAACTACCTCGAGACGACGACAGGCGAGTTTTTTCCATGACGAACAGCGGTATCAAGATCCAGTGCCAGGTCCTATCCGACCCAATACCAGGCAAACGAGCATCTCTTATGTTCTGCCGCTCAACTGCTCAGATGTCAAACGGCCGATTGGGATCCGGTTACGAAAGTGCGGCTCGGATAGGTTTGTGAGGGAGAACCCATGGGAGTTTGTCGAGTACAAGACTATATACTGGCCGAAGGTGCCAAGAACACGGTATTTGCTCACCGAACTGGCCGATATTGAGGCCCCAGTAATTCCCGAGCCGCTGACAGACATAAGGCATCTGATAGCTCAGTGTCGAAGACATGCTCTTCAGGTTGACTACCCCTTGGAAATGGATATCTATGATGCCTGGCCGTGGAGCCGATGCGATGACGAGGACCGAGCGTTCTTTGTGACTGGTGATGGGCCATGGGACTGGGGTTCGATGCGGTTTACAGTCAAGACTGATGTCCCAGCGTATGGCAAGAACAGGACAGTGGAATTTGAGGTCATGTTTTACGCTCTTGGTTGGTCCTCAGCAGACGAAAATGAGCTACAGTGTAGCTTGCTGGAAGACCAAGAGCACTCAACAGCTTTAAATGCTACGCAAACTAGAATAGGGGCCTGGGACCAAAATCGATATCAACTCATGAAGGTCTTGATTCACCATAAGGTGCCTCGGGTATGAGCTGTCGTTTACCGAGTTCAAGGAAGAGACTAGGCTGTGGTGGTGTCCTTTGCGCTGGTCTGGATTCGAAATCCACACGTTTGCCGCAATTACTTCTGGAAGGCGGAGTTCTCTTGCAAAGCATATCGGGAAAAGGATGTGCCAAAAGATGTGGTTCGGTATGGTCAGTGGGGACAGGACATACTTCCCCCATGCCGATGAGAACAGATTGCGCAGGGTTAGGATGAAGCCAGATAGTTCTGTAATCTCGCTGCAACTGAACTGGTGATCTTGTCTTCAAAGCACTGTCCAAAGGAATGTATCTGCCAAGCTCACATGCCATGTCTTGCGGAAAGTCAGTCGAGCCTCGCGTAATGACAGATTATGAATTAGTTCCAAGGCTTCTTGATTGGTGCTACGCAAAACAATGTTTATCTTGATCAGACTCAAGCTGCAGGTGAGGGGTAAAATGTGGCTGAAGGCATGAGTGCCTTAGTTAACTATATTGACATTTCACGCCGCTCTTTCTCCAATGAACCAGCATCAACACTCTTTTAAGCGGTCTCCCACCCATGGTTCGCTGGCACAAACCAAGTTGCACCACCCTCTTGTAGTGGTCAAAAACCACAAAGACCCCGCACTGCACCTCATGTGGCTCGCCGCCCAACCTCGACGAGCTCGCAGCTATCGTCGCGGGGTTCAGTCCACTTCCCCTAGTACCAACCGATGAGCCGTTGGATAATCTGAATCTTCACTGGCCTGCAACAGTCAAGTACACGTATCCAGACGGTCACCCGCTCACAACACCCACTGACGATCGAGTCGTGGACACGACCTCTCGACCGACCAGCCCATACAGCGCCGTTCCGACCGCAACCAACAAGCCCGCGGCTTCAAACCCCCAAACCGAAGATGCTGAATTGGATTGACAGCACAGACGGAGCCGATACACCCAATGCCGAGTGGGGCTGGGAAGACAACCCCGATATTGGGTGGCGTTGGGAAGCAACTCCGGCACCTTGGTTTCGGTACGCAGCAAAAGGGCACTTCATTAGAGATATGAGAAAGGAAGGATGTGGATCCTTGTTCGAAATGATGCTGGCCACGGAGAAGAGCTTGGGGAAAGACCCGCGAGACAAGGTGTTTGGGGTTTTAGCCTTGGCCCAAGCCAATGTCAGACACCAGTACTCGATACGGGCGGACTACTCACTTTCGCTACAACATATCATGATTGGAGCGTTTGCCCAGTGTCTTGTGGTTGACAAAGATCCTGGTCTCATTTGGGCGGCATGTGGTATTCAAGGCTGGGACCATTATCCTTCATGAAGGATACTCAGCTTAGCTAGGCATCGAAACTTGGAATTTGAAAGAGCCATTTGGGTTTCCGCCCATTTCTGAGAACCGCGAGATAGAGATTGCTCTCCGGGGCCGCAAAGACCAACTCTTGAGGGTCCTTCGTGAAGCTCTTCAAGAGGTGAACATCTTTGGTGGTAGATTGAATGGGAAGAAGGATGGCTCGTGTTGGAAGGCTTGGAATCCAGGACCTGATACTGACGATTCGCCACCACTGATGAAATTGGGACCGGCAAATGCGATGGATTTAGCATGGCCTGATCTTGGATTTGGGGGATGGGGACGTGGGAGGGTTGCAGATGGGGGGTTGGTCTTTGATGGGATGACGTATAATGTGGAGGTCCTTTAGAGAGTTATTCCTCCTCTTTTCATTTCCGGATAGAACATAAACCCAGACAGGTGTTTCTTGAAAAGAACAAAAGCTCAGATAATTAAACTGTAAAGATTGAATAAGACTCCCTAAGGCTTAGATGGAAGTAATTAAAGCTTGGATATCGCTACGTTTAAGCTGGGATAATATATTTTGAAAGCCTAGATACAGTCGTATTTAAGTTGGGATAATATGTATTGAAAGCTTGGATATAGGCCTGGGATAAAACGTCTCGAAAGCTTGGATATGATAACATTTAAGCTGGGATAATAAGTATTTAAAGCTGGGATATAGCGATGTTTAAGCTGGGACTGTGGTAGTGTGAAGCTACCTAAGAAAGTTTTCTTGTATACCTAACGAAAAGAACTACCTATCGTGTCCAGTCATGGACTTCAAGGTATGCTCTGCCCTTGCATGGCGTCACCGTACAGACAAGTCATGTCTGCTCAAAAAGATGCCAGGTTAAGCCAGAAAGGTTAGCGCTGCCAACGCCATGGCGTCTGATCCCGTTCTCAAGGTCAGATTGACCTCTGGCGCAAATAGGGGTGAGTGGTTGGAAGGAACCGGTTCTTCTGCGTCCGGGTGTGTACCCCCGAAATTCCAATACGCGTAGGGGATGTTATGAGCAGCGCCGAGGATTGGAAAGTCCTCACAAGCGCTTGTAAATGGCATATCTACGAAACTCTGGCCAAAAAACCCCGCGAAAACCTCGGCAAGGGGCCCGGCAATGGAGTCGCTGTTAGTTGTGAGCGGTGCGCGAACTGTATGGTTGAATTCGGGGTCACGCGGTGCCCCTGCTGAGCGGCATTCGTCAAGGAAGCGTTGTTTCACAATCTCTAGCACACGAAGGCGTATATTCGGCTTGACTGTTTTTATATCGAGGAGGATGTCCGCGTAGGCCACGTAATCGTTGCCAGGCTCGCCAGCGTGGAAGCCCCAACATGCCACCGTTGCGTCCTCGTGTTGCCCTAGCTCCTGTGTGATGGCATCTTGAAGCCCCAACACAATTTGCATTGAGAGTGGAATTGGATCCACGCATCTCTGGGGGTTAGCTCCACCACACGGCCCGCCGAAGACCCTTGCCTGGAGGGAATCGGCCGCCACAAGCACTGGTCCGGAACGTATGGCTATCGTGCCGGCTTTGCTGTCAGCCACGACATGTTGACCGAGCATAAGATCCGGAACTGGAACAATATCATAGAGACCATCGTCAACCATGGCCTGCGCTCCTCCTGTTTCTTCTTCATCCGGTTGGAAAACCACCAATAACGTGCCTTTCCACCAGTGGAAGGCGTTTTTAAGCAACGAGGATGCCATCAGGAGAGCAGCCATGTTCATGTCGTGGCCGCATGCATGCATGACAGGACGTTCATTTCCGTATCGATCGATCATTCGGTGCTCGCTGCGGTAGGATACGTTGGTCTGTTCGAGAATGGGGAGAGCGTCGAGCTCGGCTCTCATGAGAACAACCTTTCCTGGCCCATTCTTCATTACCCCGACAACACCATGACCACCGATCCCTGAGGAAACTTTGTAGCCTAATTTCCCCAAATGTGACGCTACCAGCTCGGCGGTTTTGGCTTCCTTGCTGGATATCTCTGGATTCTGATGAACGTAACGATAAAACTCAACGTATGGGCCAACTTCCGGCCTATGCTTCTCGATAACGGCCTTCAGCAACTCGGGCTCCGGTTTTAAGTGGATCTTGTCGTCCCATGCACCATTGAAAATCAGTTGCTCAGCAGGGAGGACTATGACTACCTAGTTAACTCGACTTCTAAACGGAGATGTGTGACGATATGTAGAAAGCCAATAATTACGTACACTGAGAGAGGCCTATTACACAGATAGTAAGCCCCAGCAGTCCCTTCAGAAAGGTTCGAACATTGCTTCTCGCAAGGTTCGCAGTCGAGACATGGTATCTGACAACTGGGGCTGTCGGAGATGTTGGCTTTGCAGCTGGCATTTATGTGGTTGCTAGCTGTGGGCTGACTTGAGTTCGTAGTATTTAAAGGGTATCCAGAAGTGAGTGAGATTGTCGAAGGGCACGATATCGTCATTTTGGTGTAGGCAGTCTCACCAATAACAAAAACTTTGAAAGCCCGGGATGGTTGCATGTAGGTGACCAGATTCTGGTTTGTCGGTCGATAAGTTATAGGGATGACGAGGGAAACCGAGATAGCCATTGTTGTATACTTGCTGAGAAAACTGACCAGGGTGGGGATGGCGGAGACCCTGAAAGTTGGACGTGCGGCTCAGGTAGACCCTGGAAGTCGCCTGGGTTGCACATTGTAAGGTGTCGATTCTTGCCTTCCGTGAATGTGCGTGCTACCTGTCCAAACGTCTGCTGAGTTGGACCCCGCATTGTGCCACATGGGCACACACCAGTTGGGCCATGTTTTTCTTCGGGCGTACGTGGCGCCGCTGCCCCCCCACGGCAGACAAACACGGCAGTTCGTCAGACTGGAGACAGGCATGTCATTGATTACAAGATACTTTTTCAAGATCAACGCAAGTACACCCACTTGGTTCAACGGCGCTCACTTTTCTGCGGGCTACCTAAGCGAGTGTCCCTGGGGCTTTACAAGCCTTACTCATGCCTTGCAAACATATAAGCCTTACTGGATTTATAAGTCTAATTATATGTATAAACTTTACTCAAAAGCTAAAACTTATAAGTTTATAAACTTATAGAAAGTCTATACTTATATTTATTTGCAAGTATATACATTTATATAACCGCGTTATACATTATATATATTAATTAATTTTAACTATATATAATTTACTACTACTACCACTATCCTGCTGACCTTGCCTTATTTTCTTTCATTATCCTAACTTATATACTTCTACTTTTTATATTTAAATATATATACTGCTACTGCTTTATTTCTACTATACCTATTTACCTATATATAGTAATATATATATCACTATAAACTAACACTACTGTTATATATAATTGAAGTCTCCTGCTTTTATATCTTCCTATATCTTTCTAAATTTCTAAATTTATTTTATAAAATAATATCATGAACATTATTTCTTTATTAAATTCCTTTTTAAATATAATGAATTCTGTGTATTCTATAGGAGTAGAGTAATAATAAACAATAATAATAGTAAATAGTACTAATAAATCTATAAATATTATAAGCCTCCAAGCTATAGTCAAGAGTATTAAATTGTGTCTAAGACTCTTCTAAACTATATTTAAAAAGCTGTATCTTAAGGACGTTCTTTAGAGGCTTTTTGTTTTTAATTTCCTTTATTTTCTTTTATATTACATATTTATTTTATCAATACTATCCTTTGTTTTCATAATTATAAAATATATCTAATAACCTTTCCTACTTACTTTTTTCTATAGTAAAACTAACTTTTTCGAGTTACTCTATATCTTCCTCCGCTAATAACTTTCCTAAAGAGCTTGACTTTTATATGCCTCCGGTATTTACGCTGTAAAATACTTCTAGGAGTTTCTTAAAGAGCTTCTTTTAAGGACTTTTTTCATAGAGTGTCACGGATTAGAAGAAGCGGGGACGCTAGGACTAGTGGGACTGGAGCAAATAGATAAGTGGGGCCTGTAGGGCAGAGAATAGCACGGGCCAGGGGATTTAGGAATTGGAAGATAGATCTATGGATTTAGGGATTTAGAGCTAAATTTAAGTGATCTAGAAAATAAAAAATAAATCTAGGTATAGAAGTACTTAGAGCCCTAGGTCTATATATACAAAGGAACTAGCTAGTATAAATAAATAGTTCCGTAATATATAATTTCAAATTACAGTTATTAGTATTAAGACTATTATAGTTAAGACAAGCCATTTATTGTACACTGTTTAGCTGTACCAAACCAGAATTGTTTAGAAGTGCCTTTAACTAATATCCCTTTCAAAGGTTTTGGATAGGGGTTCGTTATGTATATTTATTATATTAAATATTAATTTTAATAAAGAGTTATAGTAAACCATCATATTTAATTTAATATATAGAATTATTATATTACATTCTTTAAAGTTATAGTAATACCTATAAAAGCAAGATAAATATTATATATATTATTATTAGCTGGTAAGCCCTAATAGGCCTATAATATAGAACCTATACAGGGTTACTGTAAAATACAGCAGTGCGCAAGCGGAAGCGGGAAGATACGACGGCAGTGCCGAAGGAAGGTAAAGCACTATAATACAGTAAAGTATAAGGAATAAGAATTACCTTTATTACCCTTGGCCTTAGCCTTTAGCCTTAGCCTTAAGCTTTTTGCTCTTAAGGAAAGAAAGAAGATAACTATCCTACAGGAGAGAGGAGAGGTCTATATATAGGCCTTCGTAGGCCTACTGTGGGTCCTGTAAGCTCTGGAAGCCCCTATACCACTTTAGGGTATTTGGTGGGCTTAGGTGGGTCTAGTGTAGACTCACGGAAATCCATAGAACCTTCGGTAGCAGAGGTGCCCTGTAAATCACACCATTGTAGCAACTTACTACGTAAGCCTATAGCTACTTTAGAAGGTTCTAGTATCCATTGACTAAGCCTCAGGCAATAGTAGCCCTATAAGCCTTTAAGGGTCCTTTATAAAGAACATTCTAAAGGGATCTAAGCCGGGAAGTTCTATTACTACTTATAGCAGTACTACCCATTGTAATATCAATCTATAGGGCAGTAAGTAGGGTACTTAGTAGTACCTACACATTAACACCCCTTCTGTGGGAGTACTAGGTGCCCACTTACTAAGCCGTAAGGCCCTTATAAATACTAGGCTTCCGGTAGTTTATCAGCTCTAAAAAGCGCTGGAACTTAGGTGCTGGTAGGGCCTTTATTAGGCCGTCGGCTACTATATCCTTTATAGGTATGAAGGATATAGTAATATTTCTTTTTATAACGCTCTCCTTAACGCCCTGGAATTTAAGGAGCGTGTACTTAATACGGTTATAGTGCTTCGGGTTGTGGGCTGTCTCTATAGCGCCTTGGTTATCGCACCTTAGGGGAGTAGGGCTCCGTAGAGAGCGCTAAATTTCACTGTATAGCCCTCTAAGCTACAGGGCTTCCCGGTTACCTTCGATTAAGGCCGTATATTCGGCCTCGAGGGTACTATAGGCAACCGTAGGCGCTCGTTTAAATTTCCAGCTTACAGGGCCACCTCCCACTAAAAATAAGTAGCCGTAAGTAGACCGAGCAATGGTTTTACAGCTAACAAAATCGCTATCGGTATAGCCTATAGGCTCAATACTACCCGTACCTCCTAACTATGTAGCTAAGTCCATCGTACTATATAGGTAGCTTAGCAGCTTTTTAGCTGCTTTTAGGTAGGCTACCTTAGGTACTTGTAGGTGCCGTGAAAGCCACTGAACGGAGTGGGCAATATCGGCCCGGGTTTGGGTTATCGGGTAGGTAGTAGTGCCTAGTAGGCTCTAATATAGTTTAGTGTCGGCCTTATTTAGTGGATCAAAGGGAGTTTCGGGACCTGTAAGGCCTAGAGAGAGCGGTAAGGTAAGTGCGTAAGTGCTAACTTCGAAGTGCTTAACAGCCTCTTAGATATAGGCCTTTTGGTGGAACCAAAGTAGCCTTTTACGCCTATTTCTTTCAATTTGGACCCCGAGAAAGAACTTAGCAGGGCCTAAGTCCTCTATATCGTAGGCCTAAACTAACTATAGTTTTAGGGCCTAAATGTCTGTAATAGAGGGTCCAATTAGTAAGTAGTCGTCGACGTGGCTTACTATAAAAATACTTTTGTGAGGGTTATAGTAGGTAGCCGAGTCTGAGACTAGTGGACTATAGCCTAGGGTTTTGGTTAGTGCCGTAACCTTTTATTGCCACAGGTAGGGGGCCTGTTTTAGGCCGTATAGGGACCTTTTTAGTATTATAACTTAGTCCTTCGAAGGGTCCCAGCAGTATTATTTCAGAAGGTCTATAGCGGTTTAGCTACTAAGGCTATATTTGTATAAGCCTTTAGGGACTTCTATATATATATCGGAGTCTATACTAGCGTTAAGAAAAGCCCTAACGAAATCGATTTCCTTAATTTCTAGGTCTTCTTTAACTGTAATAGCTAGTAAAACCCGCTAGGTAGGTAGTGCTGTAGTAGCTATAAAGGTCTCCGTAAAATCGGTTCCGGGCACCTGTTAGAAGCCTCTAACTACTAGCCGGGCCTTAAATTTAATAATTTAGCCCTATAAATCCTTTTTAGCTTTATAGACCCATCGGCTAATAATAGGCCTTTTTAGAGCCTATAAGTGGTTAATAAAGTAAAAGGTTTTGGAATTAAGTAGCTGCTATAGCTTACTAAAGGAAGCCTGTAGCTACTAGTCCTTTAGTGGGTACTTTAGGGCCTATTTAAAGGTCCTAAGTTCTATGCTAATAAAAGTAGTGCTGTAGGTAATAGCTATAGTAGCCTGGTTAATGAAATAATTTACTAGAGTAGTGGTATCTATAGTATTGTTATCTACTACTTCGAATTCCTCCTTCTGTAACTTAGTAGCCTGCGGAAGTAGTACTTCGATATTGGTAGGCTTTGGAAGTACTATTGCCGTAAGTGTAGGCCTAGGAGGTGCTGTTGCAGTAGGTGCCCCTTCTGTGATTATAGGGGGTTCCCCTTCTGAAGGCTCGATATCTTTTAGTTTTGGAAGCCTTAATTGCGATATAGAGGCTATAGGTCCTTCTAAATAAGGCCTATAATCTTCGTATAGTTTAACGAATAGCGTTTAAATTACTTACCGGTAGCTTAACTATACTAAGTAAATATTATTGCCTAG